GTGTAAGATTGGGGGGGAAATCAGAAGGGGAGATGAACCATGAGAGACTGAGGACTACTGGAAACAAAGTAAGGGTTTCAGAGGGGAAGGGGGTAATGGGTATTAAGGAGGGTTAGCCTGGTGATGGGTATTAAGCAGGGCACGTAGTACATGGAGCACTGGGTGTTATATGCAAACAATGAATCATGGAACACTACATCAAAAATAATGGTGTACTGTATGGTGACTAACATAACATAGTAATATTAAAAAAGAGTTAATTGTGCTTTTAATCAACTTGGGCCTTCTCACCTACCAAAAAATTTTCTTGAGCCGTTGAAAAGTATCCTTGGCTTTGGTGGTCAAACTGTTAATGTGGGCTGTATTAATAGACAAGTTAAGTCACATGGTAATCTTGTGACATTGGCCAATGACATTAACATATCTAGAGAGATAAGAGGATTTCAGCATAAGAGTTTGAAATGCAAATACAGAACAGGAGCAGGGGAGCCAAGGTAGGAGTTGACCTGTGTCTTCCTGCTCAGAGCCGGGGAGAGGAAAATCCAGCTGGGGTGTTGAGAATTTCATTCCCTTCGTCCAACATCTCCTTTAGGAAAAGGGTCCTTCTTTTTTGAACTTCCTTGGCTTCCTTTTGAACTTCCCTTAGTTTTCTTCTGACCTCTCAGGCCACTCATTCTCTCATCTACTTGCTCCTTCCTGCTCTCCCGTCTGACTTCTACATGGTAGAGTCATTGAGACCTCATTCATTCTCTTCTCACTGGATACTTTGTCCCAAGGTGATCTCATTCATGCTGATGAATTCTCAGAATTATAGCTCTATCCTAGATCTCTTTTCTTTTTTTTTCTTTTCTTTCTTTCTTTCTTTCTTTCTTTCTTTTTCTTTCTCTCTTTCTTTCTTCTTCTTTTTTTTTTTTTTTAGAGACAGAGAAAGAGAGAGAGTAAGCTTGTGCATGGAGGGGCAAAGGGAGAGGGAGAATCCCAAGCACGCTTCATGCACAGCACAGAGCCCAACATTGGGTTGGATCTCACAACCCTGAGATCAAGAATTGACTAAAATTAAGAGTCAGACACTTAACCAACTGAGCTACCCAGGCGCCCCTCTGACTCAAATATCTATCTATCTAGCTATCTAGCTATCTACCTATCCATGCATCCACCTATCTATATCATCTATCACTAAATAGATGCCACAGAATTGTCATAAATACATATGTAAAATTTTATCTGTCACCATCATTTATCGTCATCTATCTATCTCCAACTAAATGTCACAAGATTGTCATAAATATAAAGGTCTAAAATTATATTCTTGATCTCTTCACCTATCCTCACCAGTCTGGTCTGCCTTTAGATTTCTCCATCTCAGAAAATGGCACTTCCATTGCCTGGCTGCTAAAATTATAAATTCGGTGGTCGTTCTTGAAATCTCCCTCCTCTTCCCTTTTCAATCGATCACCGAGTTACATTTTTTATTTTTTATATATTTCTTTTTATATATTTTTTATTTCTTTCTTTTTATATACCATGACACTGGTATATGCCACTATGTTCTTTACCTGGAGGACTATGATAGTCTCCTAGTCTCTCCACATTCATTCATTCTTCTACTTTCATCCATGTAGTGAGTGATCATTTAAAAATAGATTGTATTATGCTCCCTCTCTGCTTAGAACATGTTAATGCCCTTTGCTTCCCTCTTCATCTTCAGCTTGAATCCTTCTTTCTCTGTATACTCCAGCCCCAATGGCTGCCTTTGTCCTTTGGGTTGAGGGTTCCCTGCCCCATATTCTCCATACATTCTGCTTGGAATTTTTGACTTCTACAATCCTCTTTTCCACCTTCTTTTTCCCAACTTCTATTAATTCTTTAGTCTATTTGTAGGTGTCATGGAGACAGAATGTAGAATGGCAGTTGCGGGGGGCTGAGGGGAGAATGGGGAGTTACTGTTTAGAGGGTATGGGTTTGTTTTATAAGATGAAAAGACATAAGGAGAAAGATGGTGGTGATGGATGCACAAGGCATTGAACGTATTTAATCCCACTGAACTGTGCACTTAAAAATGCTTAAGATAGTGAGTTTTTAAATGTATTTTATCATAATAAAAAATTGATGTTCAGGTAGCAACTCAAGAGTCCTATGCCTTTTAATACATGTGCACTGGTCTCTGAGGTCCTGAGAACAGTGAACCTGTGGGCCCTCAGACTTGAGGTCAGGCTCTGGGCCACATTAATTCACTAATAAATGTCACCCATGAGGCTTTGTTGGAGACAACCTTGCACACCTCTTTCCTTAGTGACGCTTGGCAGCATTACTGACATAAGCTTATCTTTCTTGGGGGTTGGGGGGAGAATATCTGTGCTGAGTAATTCAGGAAGTATTGCCAAGTTTTTGCCAGTTATTAAAGATAGCAGTTTCCAAATACAGTTATCATCTGCGTGTGCACTGAGGAGCCAGACTGGGGTAATTTCAGGCGAGGACTTCTAAACTGTTCATTCAAGTCCTTTCCTGCCACTAGACTTTATAAGCTTGGGAAGTTCTATTGATAATATGCTAATGGGCCCAGAACCAACTGGATAAAAATACTACAGAATTGAGAAGTGTTCTTTGTTCATTTTTTGGTTTTTTGTTTGTTTTTGTTTTTCTTTTTTTCTGAGAGAGCATGAGCTTGGCAGCGGGGGTGGGGGGGGGGGCTGCAGAGAGAGAGAGAGAGAGAGAGAGAGAGAATCTTGACCAGGCTCCATGCCCAGCATGGAACCTCACACAGGGCTCAATCCCATGACCCTGAGATCATGACTTGAGCTGAAACCAAGAGTTAGACACTTGACCAACCAGTCACCCAGATGCCCCCAGAATTGAAGGATTCTTAATAATAAACCTTAGCAAGGAGTGTATTGTCTTTCTACATGCCAGGAATTATGCTGTTATGCTGTTATGCACACATTGTTTCATTCTGTTCCTATCACAACTCTATAAAGCACTGCTATAGGTTATCAACCCCATCTAGATTATGAAAACATGTCCTAAAAAGATGTTGAAGCACCGTTAAGTGCTGAGCTGGGATGTGACCTTGAATCAGCCTGACTCCAGAGCTTGAGCTCATAAGCATGACAAGATTGCCTTCTCCCATCTTGCTCATGCAGCTTGTTGCTGGGGTAGCAACTGCCTTGTTTAGTAGTCAAAATCCCTATCCTCTAAGTCTGATTTATGTCATGATAATAATAGCAATGGGTCGTCAAAATATATGTTTGGACATCATTCATTAATTTTTTCAACAAAAGTTTTTTGAGCACCTTCTATGATGTAGATTTTAGGGAATGCAGACGAAAAAATATGGTCCCTTCTCCCCCAGAAGTTTGCAGTTTTGTGGGAAACTGCAGATAATCACATCCACACGATACAATATGAGCAATACTGGAATAGGAGGACTGAATCCAAGGAGTCAAAAAGGGGTGTCATGGAAGTCTAATGTGACCCAACTCTTGAAGACCAGAGTTTCTCCGGGCAGATATGCAGGAGTAGAAAGAAAAGGGCAGAGGAAACTGTGCAAAGATTGGGTGCGGGGCGGAGGCTCTATACCTCAGTATTATAGGAATGACCCCTACAGTGGGGAGGGGGCAGCATTTCAAGGAGCCAAGCTGAAGATCACAGGCAAGGGGCCAGACCATCAGATCTTTATTCTGCTCAGAGCTCTTTGGAATAGGAATAAAAACCAAGTCGAACTAGCTGCAGGAATGAACTTTGGCTTTTAGGCTCAAGTACTTGCCCCAAGGTAATAAATACAGAAATAAGGTTCATAAAAAGAGGTGAAAAAGTTTAAAGTGAGTTTTCAAAAATATTTGTATATAATCATTTTTAATCAATTAAACTTCTGTACAATGCTCTCAACTTCTGTTTGTCAAAAAGCTAAAAATAAATGCTATTTTTTCCCTATCATCCATTAGATAAAAATCAGTGTAAGCAGCAGGCATTGTGATAGCTCTGATATATTGTATTTCATGTTTTACTGAATTTCTCCAAGTTAAAATTTCATACAAGAATCTTTTCTTTTTAGACTTTCCTCATACACTTATTTTGAATTAAAGGCTGTGTTTATTTATTAAGCAATTATTTATTTATTAAGCAATTATTTATTGCTTAATAAATTAATCATACAAGTGGAAACTTTAGAATTCACCAGATAGGTATATAGGAACAAAAAAAGAAAAAGGAACATCCCATTTTAGTGAAACACCTCTAGTGAATTATGGAATAAAGCACTTGGAGTAGCAAAGTTCTTAAAAGTTATGGTATGCCCGGAAGAAGGCTATTCTCTCTGATTATCCTCAGTGATGCATTTTCTAAGTTGTCTTCTTGATTTTATGTTACCGTCTTCACTTTTCTTCCTCCCAACATAAGCCCTTCAGCATAGCTAGCGTTATGGACATTGACGGTGTCTACAGTTGAGAAGAGCTGCAAATGACAGAGGCTATCAGAAATTGCATGCTGTTGTGGCACCCGGGTGGCTTGGTGGGTTAAGCCTCTGCCTTTGGCTCTGGTCATGATCTCAGGGTCCTGGGATCGAGCCCCACATCGGGCTCTCTGCTCAGCGGGGAGCCCGCTTCCCCCTCTCTCTCTGCCTGCCTCTCTGCCTACTTGTGATCTCTTTCTCTCTGTCAAATACATAAATAAAATCTTAAAAAAAAGAAAAAAGGAAATTGCTTGCTGTTAAATGTGTGGGAATCTTAAGCAATGTGCAGAAAGCATGGGAGTAGGAAGAAAGCATACGCCACTAAGTCCAATTCAGAATTCTACACGGTTTTTGATGTGCTCTTTGTATCATCAGAATAGAAAAAATTTGAAGTTCTGAGAGCTGACTTTAACCTTCAGCGCCCAGAAATGAATGTTTCTGTGAAACGAGTGTGTGAAAGTAATGGATCACCCAGAGACTGGAACACGCCACATCAAACTTCCATTTATATGTGGAAAACCTAACGCTGGTGAAAAAACATTTTTCTCTCACGTCAGTAGAATAATTCGCTTACCCTTTAATCATTGCCTCAGCATTTTGGTCAAAACTATTTTTATTCTCTTCATAGTATTTTCCCCTTTGAAAGGCAAAGTTTCACCTTTTCCCCCTATGTTAAAATGACTCTATTTTTTTTTTAAATCTATTACTTCTTATTGGCGATGTAAATAATTTTGTGCTTTTCGATGACACCGATGTCATGTTCCAGTTGCTTCATTTCTTCTTCCAGCTTCTGCTTGCGGATCTTCTTTGGGATGGAGTCGATGAACACCGAGAGGGACTGAAACTCCTTATGCACCTCCTCCCAGTTCTTCTTCAGCCCCTGCAAAGGGGAATGAGAACTGTAAATACTCAGGTAGCTGCAAAAGTAACAGAAATGGTTAAAAAATATATAGTGAAGAGAAATGTAAATAGGTAAAGGAAACTGATGAAAGTAACTTTACAAAATGATATGTATTTATCGAGTCCTTGGCTAGAGTAACAGAAAATACTGTGCAGAGGCCAAATCCTGTCCTTGATTGTGCTCTCAGTTCCCAGAGGGAGTATTTATTTGCTGTTTTTTAATGTTACTGTTACTCGTTATTGCCATTAAATACGCATATGCTGAGTTACGAGTAGTATGAAACTAAGCTCACAGCAAATGCTTCGGTAAAAACACGTAAGAATCGATGCCCCCCCCCCACAAGCAAGACATATTTTTGAATAGGAAGTTATTTCTTACAAAAATGTTAGTTTTTTTCTTTAGAATTTTATAGTTCTGTTGGGGAGGGTATGTGCTATGATGGGTGCTGTGAATTGTGTAAAACTGATGAGTCACAGACCTGTACCCCTGAAACAATACATTATATGTTAATGAAAAAAAAAAGAATTTTATAGTTTTGAACCATTATCCCCATTCATCAAAAGACCTGATTTGGACTCCCATGGCATGTTTGCATATATTTTACTAAATGGCATTGTACAAAATGCCAAAATTCAATGTAACAGGAGATGATCTCTTATGTATTTTTTCAATATATTAGAAAGAATGCTTCATATAGTCAAGGGGTCTATGCTTTCCATTAATGTATACCAGAAATAACTGAGATGTCATTAAATGTAACACACATGCTAATTCAGTAATGTAGTTAATGCTTTATATTCTCCGAAGCTGACAGATTCAAAATTAGGGATCTCTAAGGAGCAATAAAGGTTCTTTTCATCTGCCTAGTCCCCATTTCTCATCACAGCGCACTAGAAGGTCTCATTGACAAAATGGGCTGAAACCTCTAATCAAATTCAAGCTATGAAACTTTTGCAAAATTAACACTTTCTGTTATTCACTATAGGTATACAAATCACTTTATTTATACAAAAACAAAAGGCCAAATTGAAAGTTGAATTTAAAATATTGCCTTGGGGCGCCTGGGTGGGTTAAAGCCTCTGCCTTTGGCTCAGGTCATGATCCCAGGACCCTGGGATCCAGCCCCACATCAGGCTCTCTGCTCAGTTCCCCGCTCCCTGCTCTCTCTGCCTGCCTCTCTGCCTACTTGTGATCTCTGTCAAATAAATTAAATCTTCAAATAAATAAATAAATACATAAAATATTGCCTTGAAAATATGGTGCTTGAAATCCATGACTATATATGTAGGTGTAAGACAAGATTAGAAGTGTCTTATATAATACTATCTTCATAATAAGCCCTCATAGTACAAATTTAATCTTGTAGAAACTTTTGGGGGATAACAAAATTTCAGTGATTTATTCCTGTGCTTAGGTGGGCCCATGATGCTAGGGAGAAGGTAAACTGTATAGACCAGGTTGGCTGGGGAAAAGGGCAACAGATTTTGAACACTTATTGAGTGAGACGAAATGAAAGATTTAAGGAAAGGCAAAAAATGAGGAAAAACATCCAGGTTACATGTTAAAAAGAGGGGAATGGGTTAGCACAGTTCTTCATAGTGTATGAGATATATTCCAAAAAGGTGTCCTCAGAAGAATTCCTTTTTCATAGCCTTTCATTATGAAACAGGAACAATGTTTCCACAGTGCTCCACAGGGGTATGTACCGCAGGGAGGAAATCTATGCATTTATACACTTTCAAATATCAAAGGTTTTCCATAGCTCCTTAAGTGGTATTTCCACATTACTTGTGGTCACAGCAGCTACACTTTTTCTCTGCAGCCTTTATCTTTTAAAGGATAGTTTGCTTTATCTTCCAGTGTGTACAAAAACCTTTGAATCAAAGTCAACAGGCAGGGATGGGAACTAAATGTAACTGATATATTATATTGACATAGCCTCTCTGCTGTTTTTAAGACTTATTTCTGTTATTTCACCGAAAAAATCTTTTATTCATTGCAGGAATAGTGGTTTTCTTTTTTTCTTAGTTGACTTTTTCTCTTTTGTATTTTATTTATTTTTTTTATTGTTAGTTTGAGAAAAGCTTCAAATAGGGAGAAGCAGTCATAAAATAAGTAAGAAGTGCCTTCAGTTCCATGAAGGATCTCATCTGCTTGGGGACCAGGGCAGGGTGGCATGGGGTGGCTCCCCACACCATTGCCCCGCTCTTTCAACCTCCAGCCTCTGAGTGCAGCACTGGTGGGAGGAGAGAGAGGTTGGGGCATTTCTTCTTCCTCTCCCTTGATGCTACCTGGACCCTCGTTCTGGCTCACGTGTCTGTAAGGGCAACACTGCTCAGTAGCCCCCTCTTCCAGGCTCCAGATCTTACCAGGCTCTGGTAACACTGTTTCTTGCCTCTGCCCTTTGAGCCTAGGGTAGTGATGGATTCCCACTGTCCTTAGTCCTGGGGTGCTTCAGGGTTTTTTTTGTTGTTGTTGTTGGCTCCCTTAGCCCTGCTTTCCTTCTGTAAATAGTTCCTTCATAATTGCCCTTCAGGATCCTGGCTGGTGGTGCCTTGTATTTCCTGCTGGATCTCCGACTGACAAGCTTCCTTTTGTTACTTCCTATGCACGCATGTACAATGTCACGGGGGAGCACTGGCCTAGGAATTGGCCAATGTGGGTTTTAGTCCCTGTTTGGCTCCTTGCTAATTTTGGAACCAAGGGCAAGTGTAAACCAAACTCGGAGTTCACTGTCGGTAAAGAGTGCATTTGTTTCGCTCACAGTAGTATCCCCTAGGCTGGACACAGTGCCTGTTCAAGTGAATGAATAGATAAACGAATAAAACTTAATATATTTTCATTTTATATCCTCATATGTCCAATGGGAAGTGTGAAATGATTAGACCAGATGATCCTCTAGGTATAGTGAGACTGTTATTTTATGAAGAATGAGCAGGATGTGGCCTACTCAGGGACATACAACTATATATACTGTCTTTTTAGTGCTGTGGGCAGCTCTTACTCAGGGAGGGAAACGTGATGGGGTTTATCAGGACCAGAGCTGGTGCCACCGTTACCATGGTAGCTAGAGTACCGGTAATAAGACATATAGGAAGGGTCTGCTATTAGCCTATCAAATCTGTAGTGACCATATTAGGAAACTGAGGGCTGCTTTTCCCCTAGAGCCAAAAAAAAAAAAAAAAAAAAAACACAGGACAGAGGAGCCTTTCCTTCTGAGGGAAGTTCTTATTCCTCTCTTTTCCTGTTGTTTTTTTTTTTTTTAAGATTTTATTTATGTATTTGACAGACAGAGATCACAAGTAGGCAGAGAGGCAGGCAGAGAGAGAGGGAGAAGCAGGCTCCCTGCTGAGCAGAGAGCCTGATGCGGGGCTCGACCCCAGGACCCTGGGATCACGACCTGAGCGGAAGGCAGAGGCTTAACCCACTGAGCCACCCAGGTGCCCCATGTTTTTGTTTTTTTTTTAAAGTAGAATATTACATTATATCAGTTTCAGGTGTACAACATAATGATTTGATATTCATATACATTATGGAATAATCAGCATGAGTCTAGCTACGGTGTCACTGTACAAAGATACAAAATATTTTTTTCTTGGGATGAAGACTTTTAAGATTCACACTTTCAGCCACTTTCAAATATATGACACAATATTACTGACTAACGTCATCATGGGGTACATTATATCCCCAGACTTATTTTATTTTTATTTTATTATTTTTTTAATATTTTATTTATTTGACAGAGAGAGAGATCACAAGTAGGCAGAGAGGCAGGCAGAGAGAGAGGGGGAAGCAGGGTCCCCGCTGAACAGAGAGCCCGATGCAGGGCTCGATCCCAGGACTCTGAGATCATGACCCGAGCCAAAGGCAGAGGCTCAACCCACTGAGCCACCCAGGTGCCCCCCCAGACTTATTTTATTAATGGAAGTTTGTATCTCTTGATTCCCTTCACCCACTTCACCAACCCCCGGCCTCTTTCCCCTCTGGCAACCGCCACTCTGTGCTCTTTTTATGAATTCTGTTTTGCTTTGTTTGTTTTGCTTTTTAGATTCCATGTGTAAGTGGAATTGCATAGAATGTCTTTTTGTGTGTGACTTATTTCACTTCGCATCACACACACATACACACACACACACACACATATGTCCCATCTTCCTAATCCATTCGGACATCATTGGGGAGGTTGCTTCCATATCTTGGCTATTGTAAATAATGCTACATGAACATGGTGGGGACATATACACTTTCAAATGAGTTGTCTTCATTCTCTTTGGATAAATACCCAGAAGAGGGATCGCTGGATCATATGGTAGTTCTATTTTTAATTTTTGAGGAACCTCCATACTGTTTCTCACAGCGGCTGCACCAATTTGCATTCCTGCCAACAGGGCACAAGTGTTCCCTTTTCTCTATATCATCACCAACGCTTGTTATTTATTGTCCATTTGATAAAAGCCATTCTGACAGGTGTGAGGTGGTATTTCATTGTGGTTTTGAATTTGCACTTCCCCAATCATTGGTGATGTTGAGCATCTTTTCATGTGCCAGTCCGCCATCTGTATCTCTTCTTTGGGAAAATATCTATTCAGGTCCTCTGCCTGTTTTTTAATTGGTTTGTTTGGGGGTGTTTTGTTGTGGTGGTGGTTGAATTGTAGGAGTTCTTTATATATTTTCGATATTAACCTCTTATCAGATAGACGATTTGCAAATATCTTCTCCCCTTCAGGAAGTTGCCTTTTCATTTTGTTGATGGTTTTTCTCTGTGCAGAAGCTTTCTGGTTTGTTGTCATCCCAGGTGTTCACTTTTGCTTTTGTCGCCCTTGCCTTTAGAGTCAGGTTCCAAAAAACCATTGCCAAGAGGGATATTAAGGAGTTTGCCACCTAGGTTTTCTTCTAGGAATTTTATGGCTTCAGGTCTACATTTAGGTCTTTAACCCATCTTGAGTTAATTTTTGCATATGGTGTAAGATAATGGTCCAGTTTCATTCGTGTTTGGTTGTCCATTTTTCCCAATACCCTTTTTGAGAAGACTGTTCTTTTCTCACTGTATATTCTTGCCTCATTTGTCATAAATTAATTGACCATATATGCATGGCTTTATTTTGGGGCTGTCTATTCTGTACCTTTGATCTATGTGTCTGTTTTATGCCATCGCCACATTGTTTTTTAATTACTATATCTTAGTAATACAGTTTGAAATCAGGGAGTGTGATGCCTTCAATTTTGTACTTCTTTCTCAAGATTACTTTGGCTGTTGGGGATCTTTTGTGGTGCTACACAAGTTTTAGGATTATTTGTTCCATTTCTCTGAAAAATGCTATTGTTCCATTTCTGTGAAAAATTTTGATAGGGATTACATTGAATCTGTAGATTGCTTTGAGTATTAGGGGTATTTTAACAATATAAATTATTTAAATAAATAAAATCTTTAAAAAGGGGAGGAACACCTGGGTGGTTCAGTGGGTCAAATCTTCTGCCTTCGGGTTAGGTCATGATCCCAGGGTCCTGGGATCAAGCCCCGCATTGGGCTCTCTGCTCAGCAGGGAGCCTGCTTCCTCCTCTCTCTCTCTCTCTCTCTCTCTCTCTCTGCCTGCCTCTCTGCCTACTTGTGATTTCTGTCAAATAAATAAATAAAGTTTTTTTTAAAAAAACTGACTGACTGAAGCTGACAAAATTAGAAGTTGCCTTTTAACAACATGAGTACAGTGGCCCTTAGGCACACTAGATGAACCTAAGACTCACTGAGGTGGCATGACCTTGAACTTTACAGGGAGGGGGGCCAGAGCCCATTCGCTCTCTGTAAGTGCAACAATGATTGTTCACATATACTGTGTGTCTAGCAAGTTCCCTCAGAGGAGGATGTCATCAGTGTAGTGGAATACATGGGTGCCTGGGGAGAGCTAAAACCAATCAGGGTTTTGCCAGTAGAGGTTATATGTGGTGGTTGAACTTCTGAGGTATCCCATGGGAAACTGAGTAAAGTGATAAATTGTTGAATGCACCTTTGAGAGTGAATATGATTGAAAGGGTGTTGAAATAAGCACTGAATAGAACATACAGAACAGCAAAATATTTGCCAGCAGACGACTGGATGGCTTCACTCATTTCAGTTATGTGAGTATAGCGACTTTAACAGACAGGACTAAGGTGGTAGTAACTTACCGTGAAATGACATTCCACTGAGGATTCTTAAATA